TTCTACATATTGGACATATAAGGATACTGGTTTATAATGTCACTGTCATACTTGTTTCCTGATGTTTTAGAATTGTGTGTTAACTTGTGCTTTTAAATAGAATGCTCATGTACATGGCAAGTTGGTACAAATGAATAGAGGGATTTTGTTTCATTAATAAGTTCACAGCAGTAATAACAGTGTTCAGGGAATAACATTTCTGATTAATTTAGGAACAGAATTATTAACTTACAGTCCAATTAACTTATGGAAGTAGATTTCAAGGGACTATGTTTCTTGGTTATCTGAATTCCTAGTACTTCTAGTGATCACATTATTTGCATAATTTAAAACATACAAATGAATTGTAAAATTGTAAGAAATAAATAATGAACGAAATTAAATCCTTGATAATTGGAGATCCTGCTCTTCTGAAATCTATGTATACTATATGTTAATATTGTATATTTATTATATGTTTATCCGTATGGATATATATGTATGTGTGTATATGTTTGTAGGAGTCACTGTCACTGTCCAGAGAGTAAATATCTTGATGACAGACTATTTATTAATCTTTATATCTGTATTGCTTGTAAATAGCCTGACCTATGATAGAATCTCAATTATTTGAGTATGAGTATATGAGGATGGTATATTCACCACAAAAAGTTTGAGTCATATAAAAATTTTTAATGTTCAAGCGTTTGAGATTTTAAAATGCAAAATATTTTGCCTGACTTACATAACTATAATCCCTCTGTACATCATCTTTATAATAACAATTAAAACATTATAAAAAAGTATAAAATGTTATCCTCATTAGTCTTTTTCCTTTTTTAACAGCTTTATTAAGATGTAATATGCATGTAAAATTCACTCACCTCAGGCTGGGAAGGTGGCTCAGTGGTAGAGCACTTGCCTTGCATGCCTGAGGCCCTGGGTTCTATTCCTCAGCACCACATAAGCAAAAAGAAAAAAGCCGGAAGTGGCAATGTGGCTCAAGTGGTAGAGTGCTAGCCTTAAGCTGAAGAGCTGAGGGACAGCGCGCAGGCCCAGAGTTCAGGCCCAACGACAGGACCAAAAAAAAAAAAAATTCACCCACATCCAGTATGTAATTCAGTAATTTCAGTAACTATTAAATAAATGATACACCTATCACCACAAATCAGTTTTAGAATATTTTCACATCTACCTCTATAAGGCTTCTAATGCCCATTGCATTTTCACACCTTCAGCTTTGTGCAGCCAGTAACCTACTTTTTTGCACAGAGTATGTGATCTCTTGTTATCTAGCTTCTTTCACTTAGCCAGTGTTTTTTAAGTCCTCTATGGCATAGTATGTATCAGGAGTTTTATTCATTTTCTTGCAGAATACTATGGCACTGTATAGATATATCTATTTTAAAATAAAAAAACACAACTACTCAATACATGCAATGGAGAAGCATTGGTTCTTTTGATTTACCAAACATTTGTTGAATTTAAAAATAGCCTGAATGATTAAAAAAATGTAACAATGACCAAAAGGAACCTTTGGGAAAATATATGTAATCAGTTGTACAACTCAGAAGGAATTAAGTACTCTGTTGAAATATGAATACGACAATATTTGTCAGAAGAAAAATGTTAAAATATTTGAGAAAATTCCTCAAAGAAGTGGTATTCGTCCTGGATATATTCAATTTACTAGACAAGGAATGTGAGGAAATACCACTTCCTTTGAAGAGAATAAATTTTTAAATTCATATGAGTGCATATTTTATTTAAAAAAAAACAAGCAATTGTCCTGTGTAATAGAAAAGCAGTTCTCATAGGAAATACATTAGGCAGGAGAGAGGACTCACTACATATAATAAAAAGAAAGGACTTATATACTATATGTATACAGTTTTATCTTAATTTTAAGGGCAACTGAGGGCTGGGAAGGTGGCTCAGTGGTAGAGCGCTTGCCTTGCATGCCTGAGGCCTTAGGTTCCATTCCTCAGCACCATATAAGCAAAAAGAAAAAAGCCGGAAGTGGCGCTGTGGCTCAAGTGGTAGAGCGCTAGCCTTGAGCTGAAGAGCTGAGGGA